ATAATGACGTAAGAATGTCGTTTTTTGACGTTAAAAAATACGCCAAAAAACGACATTATTACGTCATTATTTTTGCACCAACCTAATAATATATGTATTTCTGAGCGGGAATGCTGATGCCAGATTGTGAATTTTCGAGCAAATCTTCAGATCGTAGATGTTTTTTTTCTTTGTTTCTATTCGAATTTAAGTAAACAAAGGTAAAAAGACTTGAAGTTAATAAATATACCGATCTACTTTTTTTATATTGCAGCAAAGGTTAATTGTGTCGATGTTTTACTTTCTCTATCATCATTTCGCTGATAGCGATCGAAACAACGTTAAAGAAGGAAAACGTATACGTGAGTGAATATATATATATATATATATATATATATATATATATATATATATATATATATATATATAAACGCAAAAAGAGAAAAACGGTAATTGCTGTAAAATCCTGATGTGTACATTGTACAATCACAAAAAGATAAGAGCGAAACTTTAGAGTCGAAGTTCTGAATATAACATCAGTAAGCTATGGATCAAATATTAGCAGATTGTTTTTCATTAATCATATATATATATATATATATATATATATATATATATATATATATATATATATATATAACGGAAGTGTTTGTAATATTTTAAGTATTAACAATCTTTACACTTTAATTTTTTTAATTGTGTATTGAGCACTTCTAAAAATATAAACGTTCCTTGAACAAGATAAACCTTGTCTGTAAAACCCGTTTTATTGTATATATATATATATATATATATATATATATATATATATATATATATATATATATATATATATATATGTGTGTGTGTGTGTGTAAAATATATAGAAAATAGGAAAGAACTCGTTAGGTAAATAATCCAATGTTCTTTAGTATTTTTTTGTTATTATTTTAAAAATAGTGCTCGATACAAAAGTAGAACATAAATTATGAACTCTTACGCCCTTTTCTTTGAACAATTGCTCTAGCAGTTATTCCAAAAAAAAATCGCTTAAAGATGGAACAGAGCTTAGTACTTCAATTCAATTTAATTCAAATAATTATATTGAAGTTTTCGGCTCTTGCTTTGAAAGATGAGAATCTCTTATGTAGCTATGGAATCATATTTTTAAATGAATAATTATATATATATATATATATATATATATATATATATATATATATATATATATAAAGAAAGAACAAGTATCCATTTTTTGAAATATGGATTTAGAACTGTGTAGCGAAAACATATTTTAAATATATATATATATATATATATATATATATATATATATATATATATATCTTTCGTTAAAACAAGGAAAATTTTAATTAATTTTTATTTAGTTTTCCAGCGTTCTTACGGTTCATTCCGTTTGGTAAGGGAGTAGAAACAAACATTTTCCATAATATTCCAAGTCCTTTCGGGCAATTACTTAGCCATTTTAAAGAGGGTTATTTTATTTTAGGTGTTGTTAGTTTCGCTTCATGTTTTGACTGTTTATGGTGTTACTTAATTTTTGAGTTGTTTTGAATAAAGAACGTTTTGGGTTAGGGTTATGTACAATGGACATTATAAAAAATGTTTTCATTGTTTGCCATATTTAACAAAAGTTATTTTAAAGAAAGGATGTTTTACAAAGATGCAATAACACACACACACACACACACACACATACACACACATATATATATATATATATATGATAGGATAAAGAACAAGTAGGAAATAAATCCCAATCTAACATGTTTCACTTTATTAAAGCTTCATCAGATATCAAGATCGAAATGATAAAAAGCAAAGAGACGCAGAGATAGAAATGACAAAAATGAGTCTATTTGTTTTTTTGTCTTTTTTTAAATTCAAGAATAAACCTTTTTATCATTCAATTATTCATTTTGTGATAAAAGACTCGAACTGCATAAGAGGTTTTCCAACTAGCAGAAAAGACATTTATTGTTGTAGTTTAGAAGTACGACTGGAGACAATTCAAGAGTACAATTCTTAAGGACTATAGCAAGGATTCCATCTATTTGAGGAGACATTTACATTTATTACGAGCAGACACCGATAGGCGACAGAACTATGACACTGGTACATTTATTGTAGAGCTTAGAAAGACGACTGGAACCAGTTCTGGAGCACATTTCTTAAGGACTCTAGCAAAGACCCATTGACTACCTGCTTTGAGGAGCTCAAGTTTAGCGAGTATAGTAGAAACCATAGGAGTAATACGCTATTAGAAGGATAGAAGACAATATTACAGAGCCGCCAGTAATCACGATATCCAAACTTGTTAGAAGCAATCAGTTAGTTATATGCCATGCATGATACACGCTTAGGCGATCATGTATCTTTCGATATATGACCGACGAGGCAAATTTTTCTTTTTCCCGCAGTAGGTTACCCTTTCTTTTTGCGGTGGACTAAATGCCATCAAAGGCTATAGAACCCGTTCTGTCCTATTTCCCATAGGTTCTGTCCCTCGGTCTGTTTGAGTAAATAGAACAGACCAAGGACATTACTTTCTGCGGTACACCAGTTGCCATCCAAGGCTATAGAAGTCGGTCTGTCCTGCTATTTACCCATTTCTAGGGGGAGAAGAAGAGGATTCACACTTTTCCTAAAGGGGATTTATTAGCAGGTAAGCTAATGCAATGTATTCAACTGGAATACGAACTCGGTTCTCCGATTACTCCACCGTCCCTTCTCGTCAGAAGCTATACTATGTTTATTTTATCAACAAACAAAGACTCTGCATGTTTGAGAACACGTGTACAATTATTGCGGGAAGACGCAAATCGGCGTCGGTTCTGATCGTAACTATCTCCCTGGTAGACTCTGAAGAAGTGATTCCTCTGGACTATAGCGATTGAACAGGCCGGTGCCAACTCAGAAGATCTCAGAGAAGGTACAAAATATCCGATGCCGGTTTTACCCCAAGAAGAAGAAAAAAAATGATTGACATGAAATAACCACACAAAATCTGTTAGATGAAATATATGAAAACAAGTTGAATGATCATAATTATATTAATCTGTTGTTAACGTTTCGTTCACTAAGAACATCATCAGAACTTAACGAAAAACTTTGTTACTTATTAATGAAAAAGTAAGATTTATAACATATCAACTTTAATCGTTGAGAAAAATGAAATCAATATTAAAATAGCTGTGATACCATTTGGGAAGCAAAGAAATGAAGAAATGAAGGGAAAGTGACAAATGGTGAAAGGTTTCATTGCCATTGCAGAAAATTCTAAATAGATAAAAATTGACTGTGTTGTGGTGGCGGACTTATATTATCGGGAATAGATAACAGCCAGTTGGTGCTGGCGAAAATCTAATTGACAAATTCCAGATCGACTAGCTAAACTCCGGGACAGAATGGATAACAGCCACTTGGTGCTGGCGAAAATCTAATTGACAAATTCCAGATCGGCTAGCTAAACTCCGGGACAGAATAGATAAACATTTAACTGTGTCACGGGACTGCCTGACCACCCACGAGCTAAAGAAAACAAAGGAAAATAGGTTAAGTCTTTGTCGAGAGAAAGATATCGTTAGACAAGGTCTGGGTTTTGTTAGGATGTGGCGATAATTGGCGAAAATCTGACTGACGAAGTCCAGATGAGAATTGAGGTTATCACACTACTGGTCGCATTGTTCTGTTGGCGGCCAGAGAAGAAGAGAGAATAGAAAAGAAAAGAAGGAAAGGGAATAGAAAAAAAAAGAAAAAAGAGGAGATAATTCTTTTTTTTTTTTTGAGCAAGATATTTTTTTAAGAAACAAGGCTAGTCTGGTCACGCCCACACTGTTGATCGACCATTGGATGAATGTTAACGAGAGCCAGGCGGAGGTGATCATGTGATGCAGGGGATGAGACTTGCTACTACTCTTTAGAGAGGATAGGTATAAGATGTTACTGCGAAGAAGTGGGAAGATCGTTGACACCCTCTGAAGGTAGGGGTAAGAGAAGACTTCCAAAAATAGAAATAATAAATTTTTCCTGACCGAAAAAAAAAGAAGGGGATTGTGGATTTGGAATTATCAAGGAACATCAAACCCCAACAAAGCCCACCCCGGTTTTGGTCGGCGTCCATATAAGCAAAGTCGCAGCAAGCGAAAATCAGAGAGAGTTTCCCAGTTCAGTCCAGTTTGGATCAGCTTCCAATTCGCAGTTGAAGTGGGCCTCGCATTAGCTGACTTGAAAGATTCGCGCAACTTCCGAACTCACCCTCAATCCAAGAACAATTTATTTTTGAAGAGCGACTTAGATCCATACCACCAAAATAAGTTTTACGACTATCGCCTGAAGACACACCAAGAACCAGTTTCTTAAAGAACAGACAACTAAAGATGTTAAAACTCACCTAACAAAAACAACGTGTCACAATCCATATAGCGGGTCGGGAGATAGACGCAGTCCTATGTATCCAGCAACCAGATATAAAGTATTGTTATCCTTTTTTTTAATACCTTGAACTTTTGAGTTATTATTTTATTTTATTTTACACATATTTGTGCGATACCACCCTCATTTGAACTCAACTTGCATTACGGCCCCAACGACTGATTGATTTCGTCTGCCTAAGATCAATTCACAACGTGGGTAGGCGGACTGGAGATCAACGCAGTTACTTTGGTAACCAGACGTTGGAAGCGAGTTGGGAACGACGAGGCTGATATCGAATCTAACCAGATTCCCATCCGAATCACCAAAAGGTTAGAACGTCACATTTGGGTGCCGCGACCAATACCAAGCCAGTTGGTCGTCACAGGACGGGATAGCACGACTGACGTAGACAGGCGGACGTCACGTTTGGAGCGGCGACACCCGAACGAAGCAGCGAGCGAAGGCTGCGGGACGTCACATAGCTTCAGTTTCATCATCTTAATAAAAAAATACAATTTTCATTTTAACTTCATTATATTTTCTCCTTAACATTTAAATTATACCATCGTAAAATATAATTAGAATTAGAGGTGTATACAATTAAC